GGGGGGGGGGAGGGACTCAGGACTGGAAGAGCTGTTGGTGTCTCCCTGCAAAGAGTAACTGGGCTGGTAAGAGCCAGGTTGAGACTTTCTGCGTATGACCTGGCTACTGGTGTCAGGGCTCTGAACCACAGCTGTACAGCACAAAGGCCCCCAAGGTTACAGCGCAGGCAGGGACAGAACCCCTTACTGGTCTGGGTGGACCCCAATGTCGCACATACCCAACATGATAAAGTAAAACGCACAGCAGTATTGTATCTGTCTCCACAGCAGCTCTCCAGTACATATAAAGGAGATGCCTGTATTAACAGAGGTAGCTAACGGGTAGCCTGAGTCCTTTATGTAATGCATGGGAATTTACACACAACTCCAGCTGCTCTGTCTCCCTATGCACTTCTCTCTTGTCTCCTTATTTCTGCTCTCCAGTCTGCCCTATCACCCTGCACAATTACTTTTGCTTCATGCGGTATCTTTTGTACACTCTGCTTGAGAGAGTATCCAGTGACCAAGTGAAATCAAGCATGCTAAACAGAATATTTTCAGCTGCCTCAATCTTGGTGTATAAATACCTACATGGGGAGTAGGTTTCTGAGCAGAGGTCTCTTTAATCTAACAGAGGAAGGCATAACAAGATCCAATTCCTGGAAGTTGGAGTTTAGACAAATTACGACGGGAAGTAAGATGGACATTTTTAACCGTGAGGGTGATTGCTATTAGAGCAATTGCTATCTAGAGATGTGGATTCTACATCACTTGACATCTGTAAATCAACCTTGGATATCTTTCTGAGAGGCTCTAGATCAGCCCCCAGATATGCATGATGCAGGAATCACTGGGTGGAATTTTCTGGCCTATGTGTTATGCAGGAAGGCAGGTTAGATGATCATGATGGTCCCTTCTACCATAAATATCTGTGAATCTATTAAATGTGTTCAGTATCAGGGGGTAGCCGTGTTAGTCTGTATCCACAAAAACAACAAGGAGTCCGGTGGCACCTTAAAGACTAACAGATTTATTTGGGCATAATCTTTCGTGGGTAAAAAACCCACTTCTTCAGATGCATGGAGTGACAATTACAGATATACCCATCATTATACTGACACATGAAGAGAAGGGAGTTACCTCACAAGTGGAGAACCAGTGCTGACAGGGCCAATTCAATCAGGGTGGATGTAATCCATTCCCAATAATAGATGAGGAGGTGTAATTTCCAGAAAGTCTGTTTCTGAAGTTTTTTTTGTTCAAGTATAGCTACTTTTAAATCTGCCATGTACATTGGCCAAACCAGACAGTCCCTACATAAAAGAATAAATGGACAGAAATCGGACATCAGGAATGGTAACATACAAAAGCCAGTAGGAGAACACTTCAATCTTCCTGGACATTCTATAACCGATTTAAAAGTAGCTATACTTGAACAAAAAAAACTTCAGAAACAGACTTCAAAGAGAAATAGCAGAACTAAAATTCATTTGCAAATTTAACACCCGTGGCTATTTAAAGGACCAGGGCGGCAGAGGCAGCTGGAGCCCCTGGCCCTTTAAATAGCTCCTGGAGCCCCCCACTATCCCAGGATTCCGGGGGCTATTTAAAGGGCCCGGGGCTCCCCTGCTTCTACCGCCCCGGCCCTTTAAATAGCCGCCGGATCCCTGGAGTAGTGGTGGTGGGGCTCCGGCCGCTATTTAAAGGGCCGGGGTGGTAGAAGCAGCGGGAGCCCCGGACTTTTTAAATAGCCCCCAGAGCCCCGCAGCCCTACCCCAGGGCTCCAGCAGTGGGGCTCTGGTGGCAATTTAAAGGGTCTGGGGCTCCAGCCCTAGCTGGGAGCCCTAGGCCCTTTAAATTGCCCCATGGGGAAGCCGGGCCGCCCCGGTATGGCAAACCAGCTCTTGCCGGTATGCCGTACCGGGGCGTACCGGCTTACTTTCACCTCTGCAGTAGACTGACTGGCAACATTCCTGTTCTTTAGAGTGAAACCAGCCATTGGCTCCATGGGGCTGAGCCGAGCTATACAGCAGAAATGGCATCTCCTTTGCAGTGCTGAAATATGGCTTGTCCGGATTTGTCCAGGCTTCAGCTACGGATTGCCACAGCCTGTGCACCACCTCCATCTTGGTCAGCATGCGGTGAGGCCTGCCCACAAAGAGCGCAAGTTAAAAAGCACTATCTCGAATGTGGATTGTGATCGCCTGAAAGGTGTTGTAATGAAGGCGCTACCAGGTGGGAAAAATAGAGCAGCTGCATGGTCTAAGGGAGCAGTGTATCTAGCAGGGGCTCCTGAGCTCTGATGCCAACACTGTCTACCTGGGTGGCTTTGGTTAAGCCCCTTAACTTCTCTGTGTCTTGTTTCCCCATTTGTAAAATTGGGGGGGGGGGAGGGTGCTTACCTACCACACAGGGGTTTTATGGGGATTGATAAATGTTCTTAAAGAGTTTTGACCATATAAAGTGCCAAGTAAGTGCTTAGCATTGTTACTATCGTTATTTTATTATTTATTCTACCCTTAGATGGGGTAACTCCTAGCTAGCAGCTTCAACCCAGGGGGAGACCCTATGATGATGGATGAGAGAACTGCTGAGGTTATTGAGCCAAAACATCAAGTTGGTCATAGATGCTCTGTGGGGAGCCTGTTTTCCAAGTCTCCACACAGTCCTGTTGGCATCTTATGGAAGATGGAACGTTCTCCCACCTCCCTCACGCAAAACAGATACGCGTGTTTATTGCAACAGAAGTGACCAAGCACTCACTTTTCACCACGAAGAAACCTAAAAGCAAGTTCCTTGCCACCATCCCTTACAGATAACACCTTGCTATTCACTGGTACCTTCTCGCTGAGGTCCTCAAAGTGCTTTACAAATATTAATGAGTCTGTCATGGCAGAGAGGGGGAAACTGAGGCACAGAGCTTGTCTGACACTTTCAGAAGAGTCCTCTAATTCTGGATGCCTGAGGTGAGACAACCTAGCATTCTGATCTATATCCGCTTCCTGGCTACGCACAGAGAGCTGCAAAGAGAGGAGTTCACTGTTGACCAGGGGCACTGCCCTATCATTCTCCGATCCAGATTTGTGATACTGGAACTTGGATTTCCCCCATTTCACTTTGACATCAAGGCCTGCATACGTTTCAGCAGCGTGTCCTGATGTCACTGCAGGAAAATTTGCAATCTAATGCGGCTTCTAAGCTATGGGGTGCATCGAAGCACTTTTTGCTGTGTGAAGCAAGAAGCCAGTTAACCCTGTGCTACATTGTTATGGCTCCAAGCAAGAACGTCACAACTGTTATTTTCTTCCATGTTCAGTTAACCATAGACAAAAGCTTTATTCTTAAACCTGGTTGTTCTTGACATCATTTTTGGCATTTTGGGAGGAGATAGGGGAAAGGGTTTAACATAAGTTCTGGGGGATCCCTAAGCTTTGTTACATCAAACGTAAGATGTTCAGGTGACGGTTTTGGTACCCATTAAATGGGACGTTTATCATTCGGGCATTTGGTTTAGGACTTAGGAGCACTTAATGCTCAGCCTAGCCACTAGATCCAATCAGGAGCGGCGCCAGGGTTTTTGCTGCCCTAGGCGGGGGTCCTTCCGCGCTCCCGGTCTTCGGCGGCAATTCTGCGGCGGGGGGGGTCCTTCCGTGCTCCCGGTCTTCGGGGCACTTCGGCGGCGGGTCCCGGAGCGAGTGAAGGACCCACTGCAGAATTGCCGCTGAAGACCCGGAGTGCGGAAGGACCCCCCGCCGCAGAATTGCCACCAAGGGCAGCAAAATGCCGCCCCCCAAATCCTGACACCCTACGCGACCGCCTAGGTCACCTAAATGGAAGCGCCGGCCCTGGATCCAATGAATGTCTAGCACTGGGGCTAGTGTCCTCTCTCTCCCCCTTCCCAGGTTGCAAATCTATACTCTGTGTGTATTCTCCCTTCTATTCAATTCTGCTTCCAGGGATTTAACCGGTACACACAAAGCAAACCCCTGACTTCTATTGCCAATCTTGATCAGGTTCATCAGGGAGGGAATTAAATTTATAAGCTTTTGAATTCAGCAGGGTCTAGTGGACTGAACACTGGTAGAGAAGGCAGGAATTCCCCTGTTCTAATCTTGGCTCTGCCCCAGACTTAGCTTATGGCCTATGCCATGTTATTTTAAACAGCTCTCTGCCTCAGTTTCTCCATCTGTAAAATGGGGATAATACCTCAGTCACGCGGTTCCTGGGGTGCAATCAAAGGATGTGGAGGGCAGTCAACTACCCTGTGGTATTGGGCCCACAGTGTAGTAAAGTTACCCTAAATTCCTAGAAGCGGAGGTAAAAGTGCATCATAAGCAGTATATATGATATGATTTATGCATGAGTGCCTTTAATTTAATGGATGACTGCACTGAACTGCTCCCTGTGCTATTATATGGATTATGCAAGTGCATGCAGGTCTAACAATTGGTAGCTTTTGTTTCTCAGGATCTTCTCTATTTAAGTAAAAGAGAATTTTCCATTTCAGATAAGTGCAGCATTATTATTTATTTATATGGTAGAACTCACAATGTGCCAGGGGTTTTCCAGACATTCAGAGAAAGGACAGTCCCTACCCACACCTTGTGCAATTCAGCCTAAGGACAGAGATGGACAACAGACAGCGGTTAGGGGAAGGAAGAAACAAATATGGAATTGTTGTACCAGTCAACTAGATTCCCTGTAAGGAGTCCACCAGAAGTGGATCTTTAAGAGGGATTTAAATAAAGACAGGGTAGGGGCTTTATGTTGGCCCTCTACATGGGGTCAATTTCACCCCAAATTTGGGAGGCTTTAAATGAATGAGACACTTTGTGCTTGTCTAGATGAACAGTTAGTGCGGGGCAAACTGGGGTGTAAATCTACAATGCACTAATTTGCTGTGCATTAACTGTACGTGTGGTCCTGTGGACCTTGCTACCTCACATGAAAAGTTCCCCAGTTCACATTGACCTACTCCTGGTGTGAAGCAGAGTAGATTGAAGTGCACTAGGGAACTTTTAGTGCATGTTAGTGGGGGGCACATGGACAGTTAGTGCACAGCATATTAGTGCATTGTAGATTTACACCTAAGTTCCCTCTAAGCTGCATGGCCATGCAGCAGGCTATAAAGGGCCGGGCAAGCGTGCAGCCACGGGGCCTGAAGAGGAGAGAGGTAGGGTGGGGGGCGGGGAGCAAGTTGGGGCGTGCAGGGCTTCTGGGGGAGAGGCGCCTCTCCTCCAACCCCAGCCCCGGAGCTCCTGCCGACAAGGGGAGGCACCTCTCCCCCGGCCCCGGAGCTCCTCCCGGTGGGGAAAGGCACCTCTTCCCTGGAGCTGCTGCTGGTGTTGTGGCACAAACTGCAACTGGCACATTTTCCCACCAGTAGCAGTTACCTCCATGTAAGAAAGGCCTTCTTTGCTTACCCAGCAGAATTTGGTACCCTAGTGGTCCAGGGGTAGTGAATTCTGAGGGATAGGGGTTCCGGAGCTGCTGCTGGCAAGGAGAGGCACCTCCCCCACAGCCCCAACCCCCAGCAGCCTGCATCCCAAACCCCGCATCCCTGGCCCCACCCTAGAGCCCACACCCCCAGCCCGAGCCCACACCTCCCCACACACCTTAATCCTCTGCCCCAGCCCAGAGCCCCCTCCCACACTCCGAACCCCTCAGCCCCACCCTGCCTCACATCACCTCTATATTGGTGCACATAACAAAATTCATTCTGCACATGGATGTGAAAAATTAGAGGGAACTTTGATTTACACCCCCACTTGCCGTGAACTAAGTGTTCATCTAGACAAGCTCTCTGATCCTTATAGCCACTTCTTTGTTTGCTAGAGAGAAAATAAAAAGGGAAGTCAATAAATAGGATGTATACTTTATTCATAATGCAATTTCTGTGAACTGGGCTGGTGTGGAATTATACAGCCAATGGTTCAAATTCATCCTCAGTGTAACTCCACTGACTGCAAAGTTAATAATTTTCATATATTTCAAGGCTAGAAGGGACCATTTATGATTATATAGTCCGAATGGTCATAACACAGGTGATTCCTGCATCAAGCCCATAACTTCTGCTTGAGCTAGAGCATCTCTTTTAAAAAGACATTTTGTTTAACTTCACATTTTATTAACCTAGGTCAAAGACCTTCTCCTCACTGAGGACTATTAACCTGACATGTTTCAGGGTGCAGCAGGTTTTTGAATGACCCGGTGGATAAAGTGTGGCAATAAACTTTACAGTGGGATATTTCATGTATGTGTTTTATGCACCATAAATCAAGAAGGATTGTGAATGGCTTTTATTCACACTTTCCCAAGAGGGGAAAAACAAATTAATCTTTTGGATGGAAGCCAAGGATAAAGTTCACCCAAAAAGGGGAAGGTTTCAGACACTTACAAGTATGTGAAAATTGGGGAGGGGAGGTTGTAAACAAAACTATTCTGCAGCCTTAACAAAAGTGTTTGCTACAATTCTGGTGCCGTAATAATAATGATAGCCTGTTCCTTGATTGTGTGCCACACCTCGGGCTGGTGCATTACTCCAGTCTCTGATCATGCTGTAATGCTCATAAGAGAGAGAAAAAGTGGAAAGGAAGAGAAGTGAGTAAAGATCAAGAGAGGAGAAAGGAGGAGGCAACTTCAGTACCTACAACTCTTTTTTTTTTAAATGACATATTAAATGACAGCAGACCTGCATCTGCTGTACCGTTTTATACTTTTATAGTGACATGACAGTAAACCACTTCTGCAGTTGGAGCACAGTCATCCAGGTTTTCCCTTGGCGACAAGGTGCTGTTAAGGAATGCCTGTCACAGTGTTAACTCCTGCCTACTGGCTTGGAGCTGAGGTGGAAGGTTTCACAGCAATGGATCAAGCTGGGGAGGATGCCTGGGCCTGGTTGCACACCTTTGCTGTCGAATCTGACCTCTTTTGTCTTAGCGTGTGCTACACCATGTGATACTGCACATGGGTTTATATAGGCAGTGGGGACATCTGTAAATACATAGTAGAGAGGTTACTGAGGCGCTCCATGCGAGCCTGTACGTAGAAGTAAGGAAGCATCTAAACCAATTATGGGTATTCAAGATAGTTGTGTTTTTTGTATTTTTTTTAACATACTGTTTATTTGTGCAGGAGCACCTAGACACCCTATTCATGGCCCAGTGCCCCATTGTGCTAGGCGCTGTACAAACACAAAACAAAAATATGGTCATATCATATAGGTTTTCTATAACATCACTCACCATAGCTTCTAAGCACTTCACAGGTAACTTAAATCTGCATACTGAGGTCCCTAGTGGATTTCATGGAGTTTTCTGCTCTTCCCCTTCCCTGGTTAAAGAGATTCTCTCTCCTCCTCTTCCCCCCCCCCCTCCCCGGGAAGGGAGGGGAGAGTGTGTGTGTAGAAGCGCCTCTGTCTTGGGAAGTAATGGATGGATACATTGTATCTGATATAGCTGGGTGGTGACCCATAATGCTTCGAAGAGCAGGACCAAAGTACTGAATTGACAAGGAAACCCAAGAAGGAACTAGTGAAAGGATCCAAGCACATGGGTGACATGCTCACATGCATTCGGCAGACAGTTACATTCGACTTCAGCCGGAGACAGAGTCTGTGCAATACATCACTTTCAGCTCTCTAGAGAGTGAGTTACAGTAATCCAGTCTGAAGGTGATGAATGTGTATGTGTGTATACATATATAATTATCACGGCCAAGATGGAATCCACTCCGCAGGTGGCTCCGGCCAAGAAAAGGCACATACAGGAACACAGCAGAGAAACTGCCTTCCAAACGGAACCTGTTCCAATCCCCCTGGAGTGAACACACACATGCTGGAATAGTACAATGAATATCAGACTGGGAAATAACAAGGAGTCTGGTGGCACCTTAAAGACTAACAGATTTATTGGGGCATAAGCTTTCGTGAGTAAAAACCTCACTTCTTCGGATGCATAGAGTGAAAGTTACAGATGCAGGCATTATATACTGACACATGGAGACATGGAGACTGGGAAATATTTATTTACAGAGGGATGAATGAAGAAAAACAACATGGGGACAGTAGGGGGAGTGGTAAAACAGGGTTACATCCAACACGAGGCCCCACAGGCCCAGTGGTACCACAGTATGAAAGGGCAGACACTGAGCAATGCATCTTCACTCAGAGTTCAGGAGTTCTGGGCAAAGTTCCAGCCCAGCAGTTGGTCTTAGGTGCTCCTGGTCATCTTTGGCGCCAGTCAACTTTCCCCAAGAAACCCCTCCAGTGCTTTCTTTTCCGCTCTCTGCAAACCCACACAGAGTGACAACCTCCCAACTTAGCTACCTGCAGCCTCCCTCCTTATTCCCAATGCAAGGTCACAAGCCCTGGTACTCAGGGCCCCATACAGCTCTGGGTGACAGCGATACTAGATCCAGCTCCGGTTTGTCCTTCTTGGGTGATTCCTCCCCAGCACCGTGTTCCTCCTGGCTCCTGACCTGGGGCATCCCTGGTCGGCAGCTCTGTCCCTCCCAGGCTTTGGGCTGGTTCTTAGCTGCTTCAATATGTGAGGGTGTGTTCCCGGTAGCCCTTTTGTCTGGAGCTACAGACACACCTACCCTGTAGCTCTTCCTCTCTCTCCACCCCCTGGAACAGCCAGGACTTCCTCTGCCTGAGGACAAGGTTTTAAAGGGGTCATGCTCTGTAAACCCCAAAGGGGCTACATACATACATACATACATATGAATATGTATATACATTGATAGATAAACCGTGAGGACTGTAGAGCAAGTTTTGGTTTGCAGTTAAATACACTTTGAGCCAACTCCTTTGTGCTGTTTGGATTCTGGCCATAATGGGCCAGCTGAGAAGTTCCCCAGTGGGGAAGCTCTCAGGTGGCCTATACCCAGTGAGGCTGGTCCAATGCCAACCACCCCACACCCCAGTGAAGGGGATATGCTGGGGGAAGGAGTGGGTGTGGTGGAGGTCTGCTCTGCGGGCTGGTCTATGTTACTGCTTAAGTCAATGTAACTTACGTTGCTCAGGGGTGTGAAAAAGCCACTCCCCAAGTGACGTAAGTTACATTGCCCTAAGTGCTGTCCACACCGGCACTATGTCTGTCGGTAGGTGGTGCTCTCCTGCTGACATAGCTTCCACTCACAGAGGTAGAGTAATTATGCCAACGGGAGAGCGCACTCCCATCAGCATAGTGTCTTCACCAGATGTGCATCAGTGCAGCTGTGCCGATGTAGCCCCATAGTGTAGATTTGTCCTCAGGTAGCATATGATTCCTTGGAGCTCATTTGATATTAGTATGAGTTAGAGCATCCCCATGGCTGCTCTAATTCGTACCAAGGCAGGGGCTGGTACAGAATGGCCCACTGAGCCTGGGAACCGTAGCTGACTCCCTGATGACACCCCTTCTGCACTGAGCAGATCTAAGACTCAAGGGAAAATCTGTCTGTGACCCAAACTTCAATCCTTTCTTCATTAGTCAGACTAAATGTTTCCCATTTGAGATAATAGAAGGGAAGGGATCTGAAACAGCTCTCTGTTTAATTAATTATTCAGGCATGAATTTGGCCCAGCATGTTTTAATGCAGTGGTTACATACATTTCACATCCAATTTGGGACCTGATGTAGACAATGCACCATCATGACAGGTTTGCCGTACACCAGTAGTGAAGTCTATGAGTTTGACTTACCTTGGGTTATGGTCTTGTAATGTACCTGCCTTTGGTGTTCCTTGACCTGACATTCTTATTACTCCAGTGGAAAAAATAAGTACATACTTCAGAAAGCATATCAGGAGTACCTCTAGCCTTTTCAAACTAGGGATGTAAAATGTTAACCAGCTAACTGGTAAGCATTAGGCTTAGCAGTTAACTGACCTTAACCGTTAACCCCCATCCACGCTGTGCTGGCTGGACCCCAGCCCTGCCGCGCTGGACAGACCCTGGCCCCGGCCACACCACCCGGCCCTGGCCCTGGCAGCCGGAGCTCGGCCCTGCCACACCGGCCGGACTCCGGTCCCGCAGTACCAGCCTCAGCCCCACCGGACAGCCCCCAGCCCCACCGCACTGGCCCCAGCCGTGCCGGCCGGGCCCCAGCCCTAGCCCCATTCCGCCGGCCGGCCAGCCAGCCAGCCGACCCCAGCCCCATTGCTGGCTGACCCCAGTCCCTGCCTTGCCAGCCAGAGCAACCCCAGCCCCTCTCCCTTTAATTGGTTAACCGTTTAAATGATATAATTTTAATAATTTAAACGGTTAACTTTTTAAATGATATTTACATCCCTATATCAAACACAGTCTGGTCTTGTGGCTTGAACAAGGGGTTAGAAGCCAGCAACTCATAGGTTTTATTTCTAGCTCTGTCATCAACTTGTTGGTGGCCTTGGCAAATCACTCGTTTCCCCATTTGTGAAGATGGATTAACATTTGTATAATGCATATTCATAGGCCTGTCCACTGTGCTCCTCACTGTAATATCACAGACACTGCTGATCTATCCTACAGCATTTCTGTGAAGTAGGGTAACATTATTATCCCCATTTTATAGATGGGACAAGTCACATAGAAATTCTGTGGCAAAATTAGGGTTAGAGTTCAAATCCCCTGTGTTCCAGTGCAGTGCTTAATAAGACCATCCTTCCTTTCCTAAAATCCTGTTTCAAAGACATCAATTGCGGTATAAAATGCTCAGCACTACTCTAAAAACCAGTGCAGCCACCTGAAACTTCAGCTGCTTTCCTCCTGGTAGGAGATTTATTATTTATAGAAAAAGTCGAAATGTGATGATGGCTATTCAAAATAACAGAGAAAAATTATCCATATCTCTGCACAGCGCAGCTCTGTTTCCATCATATTCTTTTACATACCGTGTATTCTGCTTTGTTCTCAAAAGGTTTAAAGATGATGATAAATTGAATGGGACACAGACTGTAGGGCACCAACTGGAAAGTGTGAGCACTAGCCCTGAGAACATGCGTGCTCACACAGAGAGACACCTAATTACTGTACATATACACCAGTGGCCCAACTTTCACACATTCCCCCCCACGTATTTACAGAAGCACAAATATACATACACATACGTACATTAGTTATTTTTATTATTTATAAAGTGTCATAGGCGTGCATGGCACTAAACATAGACCCCACACATTCTCTGAATGTACAAACATTGTGTGTGTACAATGTATATACTGTACACAAACCTTCTGAACTTGCCTCTTGCGATGGGCAACTGCACCCCCCCTCTGAATTCATCTGCTGTAGTGTGTACACACACACACACTCTGAACTCACCTAGTTGTATGAAGGTACATACACAACTCCTGTCCTTGTGCCTACACATACTTGCTCTCTGAACTCCCATACACACACACTTGTCTGCTCTCTGAATTCCCTGCCCTTGTGTGTGTACACGCACACCTCACCTGCTCCTGTGTGGATACATACACAGACACCCTGAACTCTCTGCCCTTGGGTGTACACCTCATCCTCTACCCCCTTCTCTCTCTGAACTTCCTGCTGTTGGGTGTACACACACACACACACACACACACACACACACACACACACACACACACA